AATTTGATGTGCTCCTTCTATTTGAAATGAAGTGACAATATCTACCAGTGCTATTTTAAACAAACAAAATGAAGTTAACTCAATAAATACCTTTTATTAAAGAAAAAAAGGAATATTGTTAAGCACCAAAACTGTATGTTGTTACATTGCATGTACAAGAAAAGTGATTGCAATATTTGCTGTACAAGTACTTAACTCTGAAGTCATGAGTGTAAAAAACATGAAAATACAAAGCAATACAATAATTACAACGCAGAAAAGTTGCACTAAAGAGCAAAAGGCAACAGTCAAAACAATTATTGGAGATTTCAGAGTATTGCTATAAATGCCTGCTTAGTTTTTTCTTTGTACTTTTAATACTTTAGAATATTAATGGAGCATATTTAAGTATTGTAAATTTGCAAAGAGTTGGCATTTACAATACACTGTGCACACTTCTGTTTAATGTACGGTGTTAAAGCCTCTTTAAAAGCCAAGCACAATGTGCTAGTGTTTTGCTTCTACCATTATAATATTGCACAAAGCTAGTAAATGGTGAATTGGTTTGCCATTGTAATTTTCGCTTAACCGGAAAGGCTAAAAAACATGTCAGTTTCAGTAGCCCTAATGGGCTTTAATCATGCAAAATGATCTGTAGCCTTCCATTTTTCACAAACTATATATTATGGTTTCACACTTGGCAAGACATACAGTACGAGAAACTCAACGAGACAGTGGGGATTCTGTCCAAGTTAAAGAAGTCAGAAGTCACTGTCTGGGTGGTATTGTCTATCCCTCTTGGTTCACAATTGAAGGGAAAATGCCATCTTGTGACCATGAAGACTTCTTAAAACCAATATAATTAGTACTGGGAAAAGCTAGAATAACTTGTTACACTCTTGGATAGTTAACCATAGAACATGCAAGTTTAAAAAAAAAAAAAAAAAAACACCCAAAACTTCCCTTGTTAAAATTCACCTCTATAACCAACACCCATACCTTTGTGTATACATCTAAAAATGACTTTCCACAGTCTTTCCTCTCCACCCTTAGCTCCCCCAAATTGAGCCACCCTTAGTCATACCTGACTTTTAAAAAAACCAACAAAAAACTTTCCCTTAACTCTCAAAACAAATGACTGCTTTGAGATTCAATGTGAAATAGCATTGATGAAATATTTATTATATGTCAACCTCCGAGGTATCTTCTGTACATGCACCTTAACAGTGGCATAATAAAAATGGGGAAGGGGAAAAACATTTATGAATTTGAATTCAATCAAACCCCTCAAATACCAAGCTGTACATTTATATTTGTGGGTAAAACAATATTTTAGAGTGACCGTATCTTCCAAATAACCCAATGGGCAAACATGTCACACACACGCGCGCACACACAGGACCCCGATTCCCTCTCACCCTTAAAAAAAAAACTGCTCTGTTTACATACATGATAGTTTAGGCAGCAATATAAACTCATTTTGTAGGAAAAACTTTTAAATTAGACTATAGGATGAAAAATACCATTGCTTCACCTTACAAAGCAATTAGGCAGAGATCCCTCTTTATGTGCTTAAAATAAAGAGCACTTTGCAGCAAAGTTCAGAAGTAACTACTGAATTGTTCAGGAGCACTAAATAAATGCAATATGCTCCAACAGTAAGGTGCTTCTACTCTCTTACCACTTCCATCTGGAACATATCTTGCTGGTCAATCCTCTAACACTAAGCATAGCTCTTCTTGTATGCTAAGCTATAAATGTGAAATAAAATCTGTTTAAAATGCACATTTAACTTTATATTATCATTTAAATTCAGTGCAAGAATTAGGTAAAACTTGTTAAGGTTTCTGCTCTCATTATCAAATGGTTAATGCGTCTGCCATGGTTTTTAAATGTTTTACAGCTGTTCAAAACAATTTCTTACAAATAACCTGGTAATAATGTATATGAAATCTGAACTCCCTGATAAGGCCTTTAAAGGACCCCTTACTATAGTACTTTACAGGTTGGTATCTGATACGATGTGCATACTAAATAAATTATAAAGGTTAAAAAAAAAACCCAAAAACCCCAAAACTTTCTATTTAGTGGAAGAAAAAACTTTCCTTATGCTAAGACTAAACTGACTTAGGCATTGACTTAAATTTATACACAAACTCAATGAATGCAATTAAAAAATGGAATCTTAAGGAATGTATAAAATTAAATTGTGTTAATTGTACACTGGTCCCATTCCAAACAGAGGATGCTGCCTGTTCATTTTTGTTCCACTGATAGGTTTAATTCTTAGTGCCTGCTATGGCCTAAGTATGCCTCAGAATTTAACACATTTTATGGCAAAGTGGCCATGCCATATGTTACCAAAAATTGCTACACAGTTCAGCTTTGTAGAAACAAGGATTTTTGCCCCCTCATTTTACACAGTAAATCAAAGTGCAGAAAATTCCCTATGGTTTCATGCAATGAGGAAAACCCCACTTTCCCACTGTGGAAAATACTATACCTGGTCAACATTTACGGCTGAATCTAAATTTGTTTAAAAATACACATTAAGAGATCTTTCAGTTCCACAATGAACAACTAGGGAATGATTGTTTTTATGCTGCTCACAAACTCAAAACCTATAAAACATGTATCAAGTAAGCAGGACAATTGCTCATCTTTTAAAAATCCTCTTTAGCCAGGAATTTCACCACACTGCCCCACCACAGTACCACCCAGATTTGAGATTAGGAATCCCTTTTCTATATGTACCACATTGGTTATATACACAGCATTTTGACTGTAAGTGGGAGAACTATTTAAAAATGGCATTCAAGTGAGCAGAAATCTTAACCTTAAAATATCTTCAAGTTATCGCTTTCCCTATTTAAAATTTATTAGTCGAGACTAGATTGGTAAATGAACTTCTAAAGTGATTCAGCACAAACAAGCAGTTGTTTGTGTATTCTTATGACAGAAATGACACATTGAGATGTAACTCTCAAATATTTTAAACCATATAAATACTATGGGCAAGTTTGGAACTTGAAATATGTGATCATCTGTAACTACCATCCTAATTAAATATATTAGAATTTAATATTAAGAGCAAAGACACTTTTTTTTTTTAAGGGCGGGGGGGAGGAAGGGGGAATTTAACCATGCTTACAGAATTGTTGGGTTCCAACTGCATTAAAATTAACATGAGGAGGGCACCTGGGTGGCTCAGTTGGTTAAGCGACTGCCTTCGCGGCTCAGGTCATGATCCTGGAGTCCTGGGATCGAGTCCCACATCGGGCTCCCTGCTCAGCTGGGAGCCTGCTTCTTCTGATCCTTACCCACTCCCATGCTCTTTCTCTCTCAAATAAAATCTTAAACATAAGGAAAAAAATTAACTTGAGGATTCAACTGGTAATCTCATCTTGGACAAGTGGACTGTACTTATTTGAAATTTTAACACTGTGAGAACTCCAAAGATGGATGATCTGCAGTAACTTGTAATTCTGTGCAAGTAGGAATCTGAATCTTAAGGATGGAAAATAGGTGTGGTGGAGAAAGTTTATTTAGCAGAGAATAAGTATAGCTGGTTGTAAACAAGGGTTTGCTTTAATCTACTCATCATCTTCAATTGAGATAATCTTCATGAAGTGCCACAGTGGGATGTACTCAGTTGTGGATGCACCCTCAAAAGGATTCACAGGGGTCTGTACCCCCTCCAGAGTACTACAGACTTACTAGAACATGGTTCTGGAAGACAAATCACAGTACCCATTTATAAGTGAGCCTGTTTTTTAATGGAATCCCAGCTGTAACACTAAATAGGGAGCAAATTCCTGACATAAAAGTTCTAGTGCTTTTGCTGTTAATTTAATGTTAAGTTCTCCTGTATTTTTCTAAATATCAATGAATGAAAAAACTTATTCATAAGCATCCAAAGGCTTAAAACTGATACATGATTTTTTTAAGGTTTGCAAATTTGGTTAAACTTTTTTGCCAAATTATATTAATCAAACCAATCATTATTTTGGTTGAAAAGCACGCTTCCATGCTTTACTGAAGCAAACGGGGAAAATTCCACACCCACCTCCCCCACTGTGCGATAAAGATTAAGTCTCTATACTAGATATATATTTTAACCTTCCGAGGTAAGATATAGGAATAATACAACAAGAAAATTAACGTATTGTGAAAAAACTGTGCAAAAGCTCCTACTCTCATCAATAAACAGAAAATTTTCTCCATAATCATTTTAAAGGAAATACATCTTAAAGTGACTAAAGGTGTAAGCATGTTTTCTCTCTTCTGAAAAACCAATTCATATACATTGGAGGGCTTTTACTCTGGGACTGCTTTCTGGGTCTAGGCCAGAGAAATGCCTTGGAAGAAATAAAGTTCTTTTTGGTACATCAGTCCTTACTTAACTCCCTTCATATAAAGGCCAACATCTCTCTGATGCAGAATTACACTCTACAGAATACTACAGACCGAGTCTGCCATATCTACCTTCATTCAAGCCCACAACACTCCTGCTGAGAATTCATAATGGCTCCATTCATATAAATGTGCCCTTCGGGGTGCCATTATGGCAAACTCAGCACCTGGAACTACATACGTATGTTTTAAAAGGTCTACTAACAGTAATAAAGGCGCTCTCCCCCAAATTCCACTCAAAACATGTGAAGATAGTGAAATGCTATCCAAAGAGGCTTTTCTGCCTGTCTACTTTCTGCATATTTGTAGAGCACACTTCACTGTGGAGCATAAAAAGAAAAACTTAAATGGTGCATGTTAAATAGACTTAAGATCTGCATCCCTATTACTGAATCCTCATTTTTGATTCTCAATAGGAAAGTCATGTTGAATTACACTAATCAAGCAATCGTTCAAACAAAAAGACTAAAAATAATCTGAAATATTATCAAGTTACAAAGTATTGCTTTTCATAAACAAAGCTGCACATGAAATTCAAACTATTATAAATTCACAATTATGAAGAGCTATTTAAAAGCATGGAAATTTTTACTTCAAAACCTTACAAAGTGTGAGAGTATGTGGTCTTTTAAAAATATGCCATGTTAAATGTATCATGTTGTGGTAAACACATTAAGTGTATCTCCATGGTTATATATCTTTTCAGATGTTGAACATCTTTATGAAAATTCCTTTGGAGATGAGTAATGTGGAAATTTTCAGTGCATTTCCATCTGATTCTTTCCAATTCCTGTCCTATAGCTATCATGATAAACTTCTTTTTCAGAGTGTCCCGACTATTTATACAAGCTGATACAGAAGAAGCTCTGTGTTTTCAAGCAGAGGACTATTCAGTGCACTTAAAGATGGATTTCAAAGCAGTCCCGATACAGCTCACAGTAGGTCTCTGTCAACCCAGTGTTCTTCAAACTCAGAGCAACCCCCTAGCTTGACTGGCCACTACAAAGATGTACATGGGTGGACAGGAAGGGAAGGTGCTTAAAAAACCAGGCATCTCTGGAAGGCCTTTTCTTCATTGCATCAGGAGCACTGCACAGCTAAAACTCATGTTAACCACCAATATTGGAATGACTGGAAAAGCGATAACTTGCCAATTGTGCTTCCATTTTTTCATACCACTGAGCCAACACACTTTGCATCTAATGGAATCCAGTTGGGAAATCACACATTTAAAATTTTGTTTTCCAAAAAAATCTTTGATCTTCAACTGTAGGTGTTTTTTTCTTTCTGTTGAGTCACCTGTTTACAAACAAAAATATACAGTGTATTAAAAAATATTTACTTACTAAAGACAGTGTGGTCTTTTAAAAATATGCCATGTTAAATGTATCATGTTGTTGTAAACACATATATGTTCCCACACAACTTTTGCAGTATCTGGCACTGATATTTCTTATAAATGGCCATTTGTAAAGACAGTATATAAGAGACATGTTTTAAAAAATGCGTTGGGCGCCTGGGTGGCTCAGTTGGTTAAGCGACTGCCTTCGGCTCAGGTCATGATCCTGGAGTCCCGGGATCGAGTCCCGCATCAGGCTCCCTGCTCAGCAGGGAGTCTGCTTCTCCCTCTGACCCTCCCCCCTCTCATGTACTCTCTCTCTCATTCTCACTCTCTCAAAATAATAAATAAATCTTAAAAAAAATAAAAAATGCGTTTGTATTCTTAAAGCAATAAAAATGGAAACAAAGTAATTAGAATACAACTTTGAACACTTCGAAGGTTGTCTATGTTAGATTCACTTTTATTCCTTTTACTCTAACATTTTGTCAGAACTATACAATAAAAAGGACCAAATACAATCTAAAATGCCAGCCTCATAAACTGCCAGTCTATTAAGAATTATATGATATTTTAAAAATTCACGAGAAAGTGAGTTTTTTGTTATACTGACATGTAGAGGACAGGATTAGTACCGGTCTTCACAGATGTTTTAGCTAAGTTCCGGAATAGTTGTATTCGAGATCTATTGCTTACACACTGCACAGGAGCACTTATATGAAAAACCTACTTGGCAGATAAAAAGGAACATGTACATAAATCAAGTCCTAACTTATTTTTATAGTTCTGCATTATCTAATACCGTAGCTACGTGTGGCTTTGGAGCACCTGCAATGTGGCCAATGTGATTGAGAAAGTGAATTTTTAATTTGATTTAAATTAAAATCTGAAGCAGTATAAAATATTTCTCCATTAAATGCAATTTTATTGTTTTGCTAGGACATCTCAACTTTAGCCACTGAATACTTCGCATCCAAATTGAGATGTGCTACTAAGTATAAAATACAAACTGGATTGACTCAGTAAAAAAAAAAATAAACTACATCGTGAATTTTTTATATTGATATGATGTTGAAATATACTATTTTGGATACATCATATAAAATAAAGTTACTGAAATCAATTTCGTATGTTTCTTTCTACCTTTTCAGTGTGACTATGAGAACTGTTTTAATACGTCTGTGGATCATACCGTATTTCTATCAGACAGTGTCATCATAGTTACTTCTTAAAGGAGGAACCCACAGAAAAGAAATTAGAAACTAAATATAAAGTCTATATAATTCTATGTATTTACTTATGTTTAGAAATTTCCTTCCAGGACACTATTACCTATGGCTGTTTCTGAGAAGAGTTTTTTATTATTTTGAAAGATTTTATTTATTTGTTTGAGACAGAGAGAGAACCCAAGTGGTGGGGGGAGGGCAGCAGAGGGAGAGGGAGAAGCAGACTCCCCGCTGAGCAGGGAGCCAGATGTGGGGCTCGATCCCAGGACCCAAGATCATGACCTAAGCTGAAGGCAGAGGCTTCACTGGCTGAGCCACCTGGGTGCCCCACTGAGAAGAGTTTTAAAGGAAGACAAGGCAGAACAGGAGATGGTCACTTTTTATTTCATGAAGTTTTGAGAAATTACTTTTTTTTCCTGAAGAGCTAATTAATGATTTAAAATCCTCAAGAAACGGATTTGTAATAGGAAATAAAATTATAGACCTGTTAGCCATCTGTAGAGAAGCATCTAAAAGTTCAGTCTTAAAAACAATTTCCCAAGACCACATACAAGGCAGTGAGAATAGCTCCTTTATCAATGCCTGCTCAAATTGGTGGGGATTACAACTAGTCTATGGTTTGCTTCTGGTACAGGATACATTGTTCTTTTATAAGTAACTTTGCAGATATCTGAGCTCATGTGTTTTCTGGGAGTATTTCACTTTTCTCTCAACATTAATACATATACCAGCCATAAGTAATAATCAGCCAAAAAAAAAAATTTTAGGCAATTTTCAAAATGGTATTCACTGTGGACTATGAATATTCTTAACATAGCTCTAAGGGTAAATTAGCAGCCAAAAGCTAAAAATAACCACCCAAGCACTTGAACATATGAACTGCTGCTGCCATGTCTACATGTTGGGCAGGATCTGGTGGGATGGGTGAAAACAAATGGAGATGATGGGCTGGTCTGAGCAAGTGCTGGTGGGCCATGTACCCTAACTGGGCTACTGCAGGCAGCTGTAACCAAAAGACGAAAACACTCATTTATTGAAGGCCCAACTGTGGGGTTAACTAATCAGTGCCTAAGATGGTAGTTTTAGGCATAGGCTTAGAAGCTCACTGAGAAGCTCCAAGCAAGAGACAAGGAGATAGGTAACAAGCACTGTGAAGTGGCAGACAGTGTGGAAGATTCCCAGTCAGACATGCTGAATCCCTACACATAGTCGCATACTGAGTAGACACAATAATATATTTGTATCTTCTACAAAGCATAGTGTACAAAGGTATAAGCACAAATGGTTTGAAATTAATTTGGGATCCAAAAACACTGGGGTCCTACAAAGTGATAATTAGGGCCTCTATAAATAGAGGAAAAAGGGATACCACAGCCCAGTGCCCAAGGCAGGACAGTGGTACTACCGAACGCTAGCTGGAGCACACTAAAAAAGGTAATATATAACCACTTATCGAGGGGAACGTGATTTTTCAACCCCCCCCTTTTTGTTAAAGCTACTGATTAGTGCAGATGCTGATGGGGAGAGGTAGGGACGAGAGCACTGTAGAAGAACATCTACATTTTCCTGATGGATCCATGCCCAAAAGGAGCAGGTAAAACTGCTTTTAGTAGTATTTTATTTGATATATCCCAAACAGTATCTTTCAACATGTTAGTAATATAAAAAAATTAATGACACAGTTTACCTTTTTTTGTATTGTCTTCAAAATCTAGATGTATGCCTGCATATACATCAGATCTACTCAGTCAGAAACCATGGAAGTGAAAGCCAAGAATCTGCATTTTTAATAAGCTCTCCAGGTAATTCTATCATCAGGCATGTTTAAGAATCACTTTGCTAACAAGTAAGTTTATTATTCTTTTACCTACTTCCTTCCCAGGGCTATCAGTCTCCCTCCCGCCCCCCCAACTTTTGGTGAATGTTGTAAAGCCCATAGAAACAGTCCATCAAGAGAGTATAAGATACTTACTAGAATATATGTGCATATTTGCATTACAGTTTGCACAAGTTGTAACATTTCAGTTAGGACTACTATCAATTCTATATATACTATTTATAGCATATGCTATCTTTAATGACTATTTAGCATAATTTGTGCCACAGAACTATATAATTAGCTTATTACTAAAATGTGGTAAAGTAAAAAACTCTATTACTTTAGGAGAACCCCAAATGTGTTATCAGTACCCACAGGTGTACTCAGTAAGATATACATACACTTATTACGTATTTATATTAGCTGCAATTTTATCTGTATCATGCAGTGACTATGATAAGCCTTAAAATGATAAACCTTCATTTTATAAGCTTAGAAAGCTGAATAATCAGACAATGCAATCATTTTTCTAAACTGATCTCAGAAAATTCCTTTGTAGGCAGCTAAGAAGACACCAAAATTCAATACACGTAAGTTTGTACCTGAAATACTTTAGTCAGAAAAAACCTTTTCTGTATTTATTTTTAAAGATGTTACTTGTCAGAGAGAGGGCACAAAAGCAGGGGGAGCAGCAGTGGGAGAGGGAGAAGCAGACTCCTTGCCGAGCAGGGAGCCCGAGCGGGACTTGATCCCAGGACCCCGGGATCATGACCAGAGCCGAAGGCTGACGTGTAACCCAGCCACCCAGATGTCCCACCTTTTCTGTTTTTAAAAACAAGAAATAAGACTGTCACTTTACTGAGATAAGACTACCTCTTTATTTGGGTTACAGCTATACTGTAGAAATTTTTCATGAGCAGGATATAAACACAGCATTTACATTAAGAGTATTTTTGAAAAGTGCTTTACTGTTAAGTTTCTAGAAACTACACAAAACCTGAAGTTCATAAATCTGTGGTCCATGCTATTAACAGCTGTATAATAAATAATAAACCTCATCAATAAAATCTAACAGACCTCCTCATCCAATAGAAAAGCTGTATTACCGATGCTACGAAAGAAAATAGGACCATTTACTTGTTAGTTTTCCCAGTCTGTGCAAGGCAAAGCTTCCTCTTCATCCTCTGACTCAGGGGACGCTTCTTTGATTCTTCTAAGAGCTTCATGGATGCTTCGTGTTAGAGGGTCTGTGTCAGGCAGAAGTGTGAAGGATTCTCTCAGAACTTCCTTCTGTACCTTCTTCAATTTTACCCCTTTCCTGATTTGTGCCAAGATATTATTACTATCATCTTCATCAGGAAAAGGAGGTAGAGTTCGCTGTTCAACCTTTTTCAGATGAAAACTACCACGCTTCAAGGAAGCTAGCACCTCATCCATGGGTGAGCTCACTTTACAAATGAAAGAGAACAATGACAGTTAGGATCATGATTAAGAGTCCACCTGGCAACCTCTAGACTTTAGGACTGTGTTAGCCAAGGACACGGAAAACAATATGGACCATGAAGTTTGGACTGAAGGTTTCCCAGGAACACATGGGATCCCAATTATGCTTGCACAAAGAAACAAACAAAGCCACAACACCCAGACTCCAATTCCAAGTTATTATTTCTATCATTTCCCATGTGAGAGAAGCAAGCAGATTGGGAGCTGGAAGGTGCTCTTTGGGAATATAATGGGTGAGACTCCCAAAGGATTTCCATAATGCACCAGCTCAATCTAAATTCAGACAGCAATTGAGTTATAAATGTAATTTTAAAGAACTAAGTTTTGATTCACTATGGTGATTTTTTCTTATTTTTCTTTTAAAGAGGTTTTTTTTTTTATCATTAAGTAAACTCTATCCCCAATGCGGGGCTCAAACTCCTGTCCCTGAGGATCAAGAGTTGCATGCTCTAATGACTGAGCCAGCCAGGTGCCCTGACTACAGTGACTGTTCTGTTTTTTTCCATTTAGTTGTTCTACATATAAAATTCTACTCCAGTTACGGTAAGAAATATTTTACAGTATGGTCTCTCAGATTAAAATTTAATATGCACATTGTTTTATATAATATTCTCCCAATGAAAGCTACGGACCAGGATTATTCTATTCTTTCCAAGAACAGCTTTATTAAGGCTTATCTGACATGCAGTAAATTGTGTATGTTACTCCCCATTCTTTATTTTTTATTTTAAGATTTTATTTATTTACCTGACAGAGAGAGAGACAGAGAAAGGGAACACAAGCAGGGGGAGTGGCAGGCAGAGGGAGAGGGAGAAGCAGACTCCCCGCCAAGCAGGGAGCCCGATGCGGGGCTCGATCCCAGGACCCCGGGACCATGACCCGAGCCGAAGGCAGATGTTTAACGACTGAGCCACCCAGGCGTCCCCTTCTTTGCTTTTTTGTACAGAGCATATACCAAGGCCCTCAATAAATATGGAACCAAATGTTACATGGTCCTGCCAACGTCATCCTAGTGTGACAGTCCTGCCCAGCTGGCTTACTTTCTCTGATGTGAATACCTTCCTTGTATTTCCTAGGTTTAAAATTAGATTTTATTTTAAACACAGAAGGAACCACTTCCTATGTATTACCAGAGAGACCAAGTATCACTTCAAAATATATAGTTTTTAAAACATCTCTAAGAGCTCAAGAAGGTACACATTCCTGTGTCTATACACATTTGCTGATGTGGGTTGGTAGGATTTCCGCCAAGGTGGGACCGTGAAAACCTATCTGCTGTCGAATAATGTCCAAAAATGAAATGCTTTAAGCTCTGTAGGGTGCTATGAAATAGAAAGTCCTGTGCTTACGTCTCACTCTATTCAGCAGAGGAACGTGAATGTGTCTGTCGAACTTACCTCTCCTCCTCTGCAAAGCTTCAGCAGTCTTTCTGAGCCGCTTCCGGGCACTGACCAGCTGGCTGCTGTCAAACAGCTGTGCGGGCGGCGCGCTAGCAGGCTCCGCGGTCCTCGTCTCGCTCCCCTCTCTTCCAGGCTGACCCTTCTCCAGGGTCTCCAAGGAGTGGTCCTTGGCAACAGGCAGAGGGGGCGGCGGTGGGGGAGGGGGAGGAGGAGGTGGGAGCGGAGGGGGTGTTGGAGGAAGAGGTGGGGGGAGTGGCGCTATGGTAACAGAACCCGGTTCGAGGTCAGTATTATTCAAAAGTGGAAGAGAAACCGTGGGCGGCAGTTCAGAGGTAACACCACTGAGAGGTAATGAAGGGGCTTCAAGTTGTGCTAATGAACTATCTTCAAGTTGTGCAAGGCTCTGGGCTTCTGTTTTCTGCGATGACGCGAGCTTCCCTCTTCCTTCGTCCACCATTTCATTTTTCTCTTCTACCTGGGGCGCTCCTGGCAGAGAGTCACACTGGTCCTCACAGGGCACGGGACTGGCTGTGCTTCTTCTTCTTGAATGAGCCAGGCGCAATCTGGTTGATTTAAGTATGACTTGGCCAGGGTACCTCTAAAAAATCAGAAGGTATCGTAACTGGTCAAATTACATTAAAACAATTTATCAACAAATGGCTATTTTCTCCTTCAGATGCAAGATGTTATTTTGGAGCTTTTGTGATTTTTCAGGGAAAGTTCTTTAATAAAGTTAAACAGAAGACTACAATACCAAAGCATAATACCTTTCAACAATTATCACTGAACTTTATTTGCTTATCAAATCCTTTATCAAGGCCCTGGTCCTCTCTTATCCACTTAAGAAGCCAACTGTTCAGAATTACCATAGGATTTAAAGATTTTTAATGACTGAAATTACTAATTTTAATGACAAAATAGCGAGACAAAATACGAAACATAAATGATATTGGTACATAGAAAGCTATGAAACTATTGGCTTCTTACATGTATTCGCACGTGCTTACAGATAAAAAATTAAAAATTAATGTTCTTTTTAAAAATGTTTCTTGCGGGGGCGCCTAGGTGGCTCAGTTGGTTAAGTGGCTGCCTTTTGGCTCAGGTTATGATCCCGGGGGTCCTGGGATCAAGCCCCATGTCAGGATCCCCCCTAAGCAGGGGATCTGCTTCTCCCTCTATCTCTCTGTCAAATAAATAAATAAAATTTTTAAAAATTAAAAAAAAAAATAAAAACGTTTCTTGGTATTTTAAAAAAACTCTCAAAACAATATATACATTTTTATGATGGAAAGAGAGGGAATAAAATTTTTAGTACTAGTATACACAACTTTTGTTCTATCTTTTACTACAGTAAAACCTAACATTAATGGATTTGGTGAACAACATTTACTTAACACAAGGTTTATCCTTGTCAGCACAGACCATGAAGTAAGACTCCTGAGCACTTCTGCAACTAGAACCATTCAGCTTAAACACAGTTCCAAGGAAGTGTCTGGCTGCTGTGATACCGGCATCCAGGTTCATGGGTTGTTAGCCTGCCAAGAGAACTGCCAAACCATTTCTCATGTAGCTTGATCCACTTGCTAATTCTGGCAGGATCACTTCCATAGATTGTCCCCACAGGTTATTATTGTATGTGCTATTAAATAAGTTGATGCCTGAAATGGACTGGATAGTCAGTCAGTTGTGAACTAATTAACTTTATAAAACTAAAATAAATACATACATACATACATAAAAATTTTAAAAAATCCAGGTTTGCCAGAGGCCCTGACCATTCCTCTTATACTACTGAAGTGGTAGGCCAACGGCACAAGGGTATTAATGTGGTACACAAATGGAAGAAAGGTATGGGGTGCCTGGGTGGTGCAGTCAGTTAAGTGACCGACTCTTGGTTTCAGCTCAGGTCATGATCTCATGATCTCAGGGTCGTGAAATCAAGCCCCGTGTCAGCTCCATGCTCAATGCACAGAGTCTGCTTAAGACTCTCTTCCTCGGGGCACCTGGGTGGCTCAGTCATTAAGTGTCTGCCTTCGGCTCAAGTCAAGATTCCAGCATCCTGGGATCGAGCCCCGCATCGGGCTCCCTGCTCCACAGGGAGTATGCTTCTCCCTCTCTCACTCCCCTGCTTGTGTTCCCTCTCTCGCCGAGTCTCTCTCTGTCAAATAAATAAAATCTTAAAAAAAAAAAAGACTCTCCTCCTCCTTCTGCCCCGCCCCCACTCTCTCTCTCTAATATCTTTAAAACAAACACACACACACAGAAAAGAAAGGAGCCCTGTAATCAAACATTAATTTAAAAAATTATTTTAATATTTCATTTATTTGTTTATTTGAGAGAAGAGAGAGGAGCGAATCTAGAGTATACTCTGCCAAGCACAGAGCCGGACACAGGGCTTGATCTCTCAATCCTGAGATCATGACCTGAGAGAAAATCAAGAGTCAGACACTTAACCAACTTAGCTACCCAGGTACCCCTAAAATAATTCTTTTTTTTTGGCTTTATTTAAATTCAAGGTCGTTAACAAATAGTATATTATTATTTTTAGGGTAGAACTGTGATTCATCAGTTGCATAGAACACATACTGCTCATTACCTTATTGTCCATCAACCCATCAGCCCATCCCCCCAATAATTTTATTTTCTAAATTATAAAGGAAAACCTAAGTTTTTTTCATAATCTTCCAATAGGACTGTATATGTAGCTGTTTAAAAAAGCAATGAAAAATAAATTGATCATACATTTATTACCTGTTTAAAAGTTCGAAGTCTATCCAGTGTTCTTTGTCTCTCCTGGCTAACCCAAGCACTTTTTCTTTCTTCTTCGTCATGCAATTTTTCTCTCTTCTGGTAAAAAATTAATAGTAATTCCATTATGATGTGTCCCATTCATTTTTATTATTAACTAGGGGGTGGGAGTGGGGGGGGGGGAAGAGTTCTCCCAGTAAGTAAAATGGGTAACTCCAAAGAATGATTCATTAAACAAAGTGTTTCATAGCATGAAACTACTAGTTTTTAATAGAAATCATAGTTTTAAAATTCACAATGATATGCTGACAAAAAAAATACTGTTTCTTTTTTTGCATTTACCCACAATTAAAGATGTTTACTCTGAAAAGTAAAATCAAATCTTCTCTAGATTAAAAAATGTTCCATCTTTGAGGTTCTGCCTTAAACAGTTTAAATATAAAATACTTGTAGCTGCTCTATTCTGCAAAATCAAACAGTTCACCTTAAAAATAAAATCAGCAGCCACCTGGCCAATAGTTTAGATACTGCACCATCACTCAAACAATATAAGCAGCAGTTAGGAAAAAAAAGTATTTCTCTCAGTATTCATGAATCATTTGGATTAGTATCACACCTTGAAATTGAGAGTTATCTGCACAGAAATTTAAAAATTTCCCTATGTTAATGCTAACTGGTAGTAACTGTGGAAAAGTTTATATGTCTGGAGTATGGAGGCTCCTCAAAAAATTAAAAAAAAAAAATTACCTTATGATCCAGTAATTCCACTACTAGGTATTTACCTAAAGAATATGCAAACACTAATTGGAAAAGATATACGCACTCCTATGTCTATTGCAGCATTATTTACCATAGCCAAATTATGGAAGCAGCCCAAGTGTCCATCTATAGATAAATGAATAAAGAAGCTTTGGCATATATAAAACAGAATATTGCTCAGCCATAAAAATAATGAAAACTTGCCATCTGCAACATGGATGGACCTAGAGAGTATGCTAAGTGAAATAAGTCAGAGAGAGATAAATACCATATGATTTCACTCACATGTGGAATTTAAGAAACAAATGAGTAAAGGAAAAAAGAGACAAACCAAGAAACAGATTCTTAACTATAGAGAATAGATCACTGCCAGAGGAGAGGGGTGGGAGGAAAGGGTGAAAGATGTGATGGGGATTAAGAGTACACGTTTCATGATATGCACTGAGTAATGTAAAGAATTCTTAAACGATTATATTATACACATGAAACAAACAGAACACTGTATGTTAACTATACTGGAATTAAAAAATAAAATTCCTTATGCTGCTGAATCACCTAAAAGGTATCGAAGTGAATCTGATTTCACAGAACAAGAATTAAATGAAAAGGCTATGGCTTTATTTCCTGCTTTGTTTTAAACTAACTAGGAGATACCTCCTACAAGATCAATTAATTTCGTGTGAAGAGGACTGTGGTCTCCAGTGTGTCATTAACTTGTCTCTCTTCCATTTGTCCTTTTCAAATTCAACCTTCCATTATTATCTTACTCTATTACCTCTCTTCTTTCCCACGAGCTTTTCCCTGGACAATTTCTAGTGAGAGTTACTGCTTCATTTGTCTTGGATGATTATACTGAAATCTAAAGGATGATTTGAATCTTTAGGCTGAAAGTGAGCATCCAGTTTCAGGAAACCCTGATGCACAATGATCACCTGGTAAAGTTACTAGACTCCACAACAAACAAAGACTCTTTATGAGTATCCACGCAGAAAACTCAAGTCTCATGGAGGATGGGTGGAGGGAGGGGAAACCTCAGGCCTTTCACTGTAACATTCAAAGCTACAAGAAAGTGTTTAACAATGTCTCCAAATTTGGTGGAGAGAAAATATGACAGTATGACCTAGACAAATTGTCTCTTAGGAAATGCCAGAACACAGAATATATGGTAACCATGAAACTTTCCTGAAATGGTACCTCAATGAAATCTAGCTCTAAGATGAATCAAAATAAACTCAGGAAGAGGAGTTGTGATAATCTATTTTGGTGGTTTTTTCTTCATAGTTTTTTTTCTGTATTGCTTTATTCTTTTATAACGATCATTTATGTCTTTTTATAAACACAGTAAGGTTTTTAAAAATGAGTAAGAATGGTTGAGAAGCATTTTTGCAAGCCACTAATTAAAACTGCTTTTAATAGAAGAATTTTTAAAGTAGCAGTAAAGAAAAAGTTTAGAATATGCTTTTTTAAATCTGGTAAGTGATCAAAATTTATACACATCAGGATACTCAATTATTCAGGGAAAAAAAACCACCTTGCTTATAGATAGTAAAACAAAATTAGAAAATATTAAGAGCAAGGAAACTTTTTTAAGATCATGTAATAAAAAAGGATGGCACGTTAAAATACCATCTAAGAGTAATATGTTAGGGGAAAAGCAGCTGAAGATAAAGAAATTCCATTCTTCCATCAAACACATCAATTACCTGTCAGCCAGGCAGGCCCTATCGTAAGCCCTAGGAAAGCAGAAGGGATGTGTACATGGTGCTGAGGAAGAATAGGCATGTTAAATAGACCTGGAGGTTTAGCTGTCAAGCACCAAGTAAGAAACGGACCCTGCTGGAGGTGCAGGTGGTGAAAAAAAAGAGAGCACAGGCAGTAATCTGTTGGACAACAGCCTTAGCAACATTTTTCTAGATAGGTCTCCTCAGGCAAAGGAAGCAAAAGCAAAAATCAAGTACTGGGACTACACCAATATAAAAAATTTTGGCACAGTGAAGGAAACCATCAGCAGAATGAAAAGACAACCTGCTGAATGAAAGAAGATATTTGCAAATGATATGTCCAGAAAGGCATTAAATCTGAAATATATAAAGAACTTATACAACAATACCAGAGAAAAAAATAATAATCTACTTTAAAATGGGCAGAGGATTTTTCAAAAGATATGCAAATGGCCAAAAGACACATGAAAAAATGCTCAACATCACTAATAATTGGGGAAATGAAAATCAAAACCACAGTGACATATCACCTTACACCTGTCAGAATGGCTAGAATGAAAAAGACAAGAAATAACAAGTGTTGGGAAGGACGTGGACAAAAGGAAGCCTCATGCACTGTTGGCAGGAGGGTAAACTGGGGCAGCCACTGTGGACAACAGTATGGAGGCTCCTCAAAAAAACTAAAAATAGAAATATCCCATGATATAGTAATTCCACTTTTGGGTATTTACCCAAAGAATACGAAAACTTTAATTCAAAAGGATATATGCACCCCTATGTTTGTTGCAGCATTATTCACAATAGCCAAAATATGTAAGCAACCAAAGTGTCCATCAAAAGATGAGTGGATGGAGATGGATATGTACAATGGAATATTACTCAGCCATAAAAAGAATGAGATCTTGCCATCTGTAACAACATGGATGGACCTATGGGGTATTATGCTAAGTGAAGTAAATCAGACAAATGTTTTATGATCTCACTTACATGTGGCATTTAAAAAACAAAATAAACAACAACAACAAAAAAGCAGAAACAGACCCATCACAGTACAAAGAACAAACTTGTGATTTCCAGAGGGAAGAGAGATGGGCAGGTGGGAAAAGGTGCTTGGAGGGCAATGGAAGGTACCAGCTTCCAGCTATGCAATGAGTAACTCACGGGGATAAAAGGTGTAGCGTAGGGAATGCAGTCAGTGGTACTGTCACAGTGCTGTGCGGTGACAGGCGGGAGCTGCACTGGCAGTGAAGACAGCATGATGTAGAGAACTGTCACATCAGTATCTGTACACCCGAAACTGAAACTAACATACCGTTGTGTGTCAACTACACTTCAATTTTAAAATATCTTCTGTTAGAAAAGAAACTATTATGAACAACAAACTAGATAAGAGACTACATCTTAACTGTTCAATGCTACAAGAGATTGTACTTATGGGATACCATAGAGATGTTAGCAATGGCAATCATACTGCAAATGGAATGCATCAAATCAATATGCTACATCTTAAATTTGTACAATGTTGTATGGAAAATACATCAATTAAAAAAAACTGTCAAAAAATGGTTTTTAAAAAACCACTGTAACCAAAATAATCTTAAAACTTCTGATCAGTTTTCATAAACTACACCTTAAAATTATTGTTTGTACTTTTTTTTTTTTTTTGACAGAGAGAGACACAGTGAGACAGGGAACACAAGCAGGGGGAGTGGGAGAGGGAGAAGTAGGCTTCCCGCTGAGCAGGGAGCCCGATGCAGGGCTCGATCCCAGGACTCTGGGATCATGACCTGAGCTGAAGGCAGACGCTTAACCGACTGAGTCACCGAAGCGCCCCTGTTTGTACTTTCTTGAAGTGAAACCCATCAGTTATGAATGTGGTTAATAAAACAAGAATTCACTTTTTAATGGGAAAACTGACTTGTGTCCCCACCACCATTTCCTTCTCTTACTCAATTTGTCTCTGAGCTTAAAAAAAAAAAAGTAGCTTTACATTTTCTTTATTGTTTCAGAGGCTTACTATCAAATATTAAAATAAACTTCCTTAGTCTTAAATATTTAATTTGCAAGGATTTCCAGAAGAAATTTTTGAGACAATAATGTTAGTATCTAGGAATGTACATTTTAAACCACCCAAGAGATTTTAATAAAGGTGGTTTAAAACTAGCTTTGAAAAACAATGATTTGGGGCACCTGGGTGGCTTAGTCAGTTAAGCATCTGCCTTCGGCTCAGGTCATGATCCCAGGGTCCTGGATCGAGCCCCGCATCGGGTTCCCTGTTCAGCAGGGATCTCCCTCTCCCTCTGCCTGCCGCTCCCCACTGCTTGTACTCTCTCTCTCTCTCTGCCAAATAAATAAATAAAATCTTAAAAAAGAAAAAAGGAAAAAGGAAAAAAGAAAAACAATGATTTATTTTAATGTGAGCCAACTTGCGTTTTCCTACAGTTATGCATGTTAAGGAAAAGGAGATGGTTAGTGGGCTCATCTCCCATACTTAGCATTCCACCCAAAACTGGTATTCGGCAGAATTAAAAGGCAGATGACATTTATCTTTGAGATCTCCTCAAGTATCAGTTTCCTCATTTTTACTCTTCTTTGCCCTAAGAAACTCTTGGAGAAAGGATTTGATAGTCATTCTAAAAAACTAATTAGGGGTGCCTCGTGGCTCCTTCAGTTGTGTCTGCCTTTGGCTCAGGTCATGATCCCAGGAGCATTGGGCTCCCTGCTCTGTGGGGAACCTGCTTCTCCCACTCCCTCTACCTGCTGCTCCCCAATTGTGCTGTCAAATAAATAAAAATCTAAAAAAAAAAAAAATTTAGTTACTACATCTACCAAAGTAGTGGCAAAATCTTCATAGAGTAATGTGTAAGCATGGGATCTCAAGAGCACTCTGACGGCACAGGTACGGAGGCTGATAGGAGGCGTTCTTATTTGCCCGTTTGGTCCATTATCTACCGTTTACAAGGCAGTTTCTGATCTATGAAAAGCACAATGAAAAATAAAAGTGCAAGAATTAATTTTGCTATTTCTAGTTTCTTGGAGAATGATGAATCTTACAGTTTATGGGTAGTTTGGCTACTTTTATGTGTTTAAAATCAAGAGTAAGGGGCAACTTTAACTAATATGTGCCAAAATGAGCTTAAGGGATTAATACAGAAAAATTTAAGCCATTTGGCCTTTAGGGTGACAAAAACTATATAAGCACATACAGTGATATGGTCATGTCAGCATTTCTACTATTTAATGAAATTTAAAATTATTGGTTGAGTAATCTAAGACACGGGTGTATGAAAAGACTACTATCAGGATAATACACCGCAGACATAATGAGGTGGAGCGATGCTGGGAGTAGAAGATTTCTAATGCAATTTTTTAAAAAAGTGAACTAATGATCTCAGTAAATCACAGAGAGTAAGTTCCTCACCTTGATAAGGAATATCTACAGAAAACCCTATAGCTAAGCATGGTAGTTAATGGTCAGAAACAAGAAGCCTTCCTGTTAAGATCAGGAGAAGACAAAGCTGTCCCCTCTCACCATTCCTTCTAGGTGAGCATCATACTGAAAGCCCTAGCTACTGGAAAAAGTGAAGTAAAAGGTGTACAGATTGGGATAGAAGAAATACACCTCTCTTCATTTGCAGATGACAAGACCGTTCATGTAGAAAACCTAAAAGAACCAACAGAAAAAGAAAGCTCCTGGACTAATGAGTGGATTATAGCTCGGCTACGGGATACAAGGTTGACATAGAAAAGCCAAATGCTTTCTAATGTACCAGCAACGAACATCTCGAAGTTTAATATTAAAAACTATTTACAGGGGCGCCTGGGTGGCTCAGTCGGTTAAGCGTCTGCCTTCGGCTCGGGTCATGATCCCGGGGTCCTGGGATCGAGCCCCGCATCGGGTTCCCTGCTCGGCGGGAGGCCTGCTTCTCCCTCTCCCACTCCCCCTGCTTGTGTTCCCTCTCTCACTGTGTCTCTCTCTGTCAAATAAATAAATAAAATCTTAAAAAAAAAAAAAAAACTATTTACATTACCACCAAAAAAAGAGATTTAGGCACAAATCTAATAAAATAAGATCTATATGAGGCCAACTATAAAACTTACAAAAGAAATCAAAAAAGATCTTAATAAATAGAGAGCTAATTCCTTGTTTACAGACAGGAAGACACAATATTAAGGTGTCCATTATTCTGAAACTTAACTTATACATATGATGTAATCCTAGTCAAAATGTTGGTTGCTTATTTTGTGGTTACTGACTAGCTTTGGAGCAGCAGAAGACCTAGATCAATATAACAACACAGAGTACAAAGTAGACCCAAATATATTTAATCAACTGATCTTAAGAGCAAAGGCAATCCAATGGAGAAATGACAGTTTTTGTTTTTTTTTTTTTAAGAAATGGTGTTGGAACAACTACACACTCACATTTAAAAAGAAGTTTAGCTACAGACCCTATACCCTTCACATACATTAACTCAAAACAGATCACAGACTTAAATGTAAAATAAACTATAAAGCTCCCAAAATATAACATTGTTTTGAGAAAATACAGATGACTCTGGGTTTGGAGAGGACTTTTTAGATACAGCACCAAAAGTACAACTCATGAAAAGAAAGAAGTGATAAGCTGGCCTTCATTAACATTAAAATTAAAATAAAAAATATCCTGTTCTGCAAGAGATGCTGTCAAGAGAATGAAAAGACAAGCCACAAATTTGGAGTATTTGCTTTTTAAAAAACCCTGTCTGATAAAGGACTTTATCCAGAATAAAGAATTCTTAAAACTCAATAAAAAGAAAACAACCCAATTAAAAAACCAGAAAAAGATCTGTACATAACCTCAGCAAAGAAGATACACAGATGACAAGAAAGCATTGTGAAAAGATGCTCATTATCATACACCACTAGGGAACTGCAAACTAAACATTCATCAGATACCACCACATTCCTAATTAGAATGGCTAAAATACAAAACACTGACAATACCAAATGCTGGTAAGGATGTGGAGCGATAGGAACTCTCATTGTTGGTAGCAATGCAAGTGCTATAGCCACTGTAGTAGACAGTTTCGCAGTTTGCTACAAAATTGAATCAACTCTTACCTTGTAATCCAGCAATCGTGCTCCTTGGTATTTACCCAAGAGATGAAAACTTAATGTGCACACAAAAACCTGTATAAATGCTTACAGCAACTTTATTTTAAGTGCCAAAACATAGGAGCAACCAACATGTCTCAGTAGGTGAATCGATAAACTGTGCTGTACCCAGACAATGGAATATTATCTGGCACTAAAAAGAAATAAACTATCAAGCCATGAAAATGCATGGAGAAAAAAAAAAAAAGAAAGAAAATGAATGGAGGAATCTTAAATGCATATTACTGAGTTATGTCCATCAGAAAAGGCTACATACTGTATGATTCCAATTAAACATTCTAGAAAAGGCAAGACTGTAGAGACAGTAAAAAGATCAATGGTTGCCAGGGGTGTGAAGAGAGAGGGGGATGAATACATAGAACACAGAACATTCTCAGGGTGGTGAAAAATGTTCTGTATGATATTATAATGGTGGATTCATATCCTATCACTATACATTTGTCAAAACCAATAGAACACACATCACCAAGAATGAACTCTAAACTATGGACTTTGGGTGATACCAATGTATCAATGTTGATTCACTGACTGTAACAAAGGTACAACACTCTGGTTGGAAGGAGAAGCTGTGCATGTGTGGAAGTATATAGGAACTGTCTATATTGTCTAGTCAATTTGTTTAAAACTGTTCTAAATAATAACGTATGCATATATATGCATACATATTGAACTACATACATTCCTACATACGTATATATGGAATTAATGCTAACATCTAGTTATTCACATTTTCTTATTCTCTATTCACTTTGAGACATGTAAAAATCAAAGTTTTCTTCTAAGGCTCCACAAGTCCAAACTTACTAGTTGTACTGTGTGATGGGTTCTATATTCATCTTCACTCCGAAGGCGCTGTTGGAACTTTTCATTGTGTTTTGCAATACAAATTTCCTATAAATACATAAAATGTGTTTTAATGTAAGTGAAACCTGAAAGACTCGGACACCACACCAGAGTTTATTTAATTGGGTTTTAGTTTTAATCTTAACATGTACCTACATAGGGCACCTGGGTGGCTCAGTTAAGCATTTGCCTTCAGCTCAGGTCATGATCCCAGGACCCTGGGATCAAGCCCCGCATCGGGCTCCCTGCTCAGTGGGAAGCCTGCTTCTCCCTCTCCCTCTCCCACTCCCCCTGCTTGTGTTCCCTCTTTCACTCTCTCTCTCTGTTAAATAAATAAAAATCTTTAAAAAAAACTTAAAACAAAAACATGTACCTACAATAGCAAAACACCAAGTAGGCCACGTTTGGTTTCTCATCTGGAGTACTGAAGCAGCAGAAACCAAATCATTAGGATCTAAGAAAAATATTAACTTCTCTAGAACACATCTTTTCTAAAATTTTTTTTTTTTTTTTGGACGGGGAGGGATACAGCAAGATAGAGTGGACAAGGGTATCCTTAGATAATCTCAAAGCTCTCTTTAAGCTCTGAAGTCTGTGGCCAAAAGATTCTAAGTCTTATTGTACTCTTTAAACTAGTCTGAGTAAAAAAAGATATACAACTCTTGGCTGAAAGTCTGTATTCTAAACTCTGATGGGTTAAAGAACATGATTTTGCTTGGAGTGGCTTAAATGGTATTATGAAATCTGTACCTTATGGTCAGAGATTGAGTGAAAAGGGACCTTAAAGATAAAAAAAAAGTCAGAATGACAAAATATATATATATATATATGAATGCTTATTCTAATCACATGAAAAAAAAACATAATAATAAACTAGGAAATACATGCCTCTTTACAAAATAATGCACTATCATCTGGCAACATTTAATGGCACCACGCTACGTTTTTTTCCCTCGGTTTTCCTAGAGAAGTCCTCCAGATAAAAAGATAACCATTAGTTTCCAACACTCTCAAAACTATACCAAAAGATCAATCTTCTAACCAGAGAAAGTGATATAATGAATGACCTTTTAAGCCCATGAACTACACTGTAAAGCAACTGTGTTGTCTTTTTCACCAACACTGGGTTGACTCTATTGCCTAACAAGTACAGATCCTGAAATTAAACTGTTCAGGGCAGTCTCCAGGGGGATAACAAAGGTAGTATTATATACAAGTAACATGATATGGTGGTACAATGACTCAGGCTTCTAAATCACACAGACCTAAGACAGAATCCTACCATTGCACAGTAACTAGCTGCTTTTCTCTGGGTGATTTATTTAACTATCAGGAGCCTTAGTTCCCTTGATTACAAAATGAGAATATAGGTCCCAAGTCCCTTATTTTCAGATTTTAGAAAGGTGGTATGTTGCATACACACTACCCAGTAACTCCAGCAGGATCTGAAAGAGCGCCCTAAAAGTAATACTAACATTTTTGCAGTGAAATATATGAATAGTCAAATTAAGTGGGACGATGAGATGGACAACTTCCTCTCAGCTCAGGTCTGGGCTTGTCACCAAACCAAGTATGAGAATGCTTTTGATTTTTGGAGCTTTCTCGGCTTTAGGCAAAAGAATATTATCTCATTTGACTAGTGGTATCATTAAAGAAGATAAAAAATGCATAAAGAATAATGTTGTTTCTATTATTCTTCTTAAAAAGTCCAATCACAAAGCGCAGACTTCAAGCCCTCATGGCATAGCCAGAGACCATCTTTGTTTTTTCAAGAGGAGAAGCAGGACATGATTTTCTTAGAACTACCCTTGGGTATGCAATTCTACTGTGGATATTGGATAAACCAAGCACCCTGTGACTGTGGGCATGATGACATGGAGACAAGGATTATAAGACGACGTTACATGGAGAGGTGTGTTTTTATCTTTTGTATCATACAGTTGATCTTCTCGTTGTCTTTCTTTTTAGGACTTAGTGTTTCTAGTTTTCTCTCTTTCCAGCCATCTTTTCATTACTTCCTCCCCCTGCAGACCTGCCACCCCAGATGGTAGGCTTGGAGGGACAGGGTAAGGATGGGAGAAGACAAGACCATCGAGGGCCCCTGACTCTGTGTGATGTGATGGGTTGCAGCAGATCTGAGGCTGCTGGTATAAACAGGCAGATTCTCTGGGGGTGGCTTTCCCTACCTCAGATTTAGATTAATATATATATAATTCCTTCAAGACTGAGGTCAGAACCAAGACTTCATTTAGAACAGCACTGGCCTCCTTAAATAATGAGGAGCCAGGAACTGCATTACATGGGATCCTGCAGTCATGCCCTTTAGCAGAGTCACCTTCAGGGTGCCACAGGTAAACAGGACATCATCACTGGCTGTTCTAATGTTAACAGGGCAGCTCTCGAACTATAAAATGTTAATATAATGGCTCGAGTATTGGAAAGAGGTAACTCTCACTTAGTTTTAAAACAAATATTAGTGACAAACCAGGTTAAATTAGATATGGGTCAAGGACTAAGTAATGACTAAAAGCAGGATTTAAAATTAAGGCTGTCTATTCAATAAACACCTATTATACCTTTTTATTTCTGAGGTAGGCTTTCTTGGCTGAAACCCGTCCACGTCTTGCTTCTAGCTGGCGTGCTTTCTGCTGAAGTTTCTGTAGCTCTTCTCTCTGTAAGTGCACAGATGCTGCCATCTCTTCCTTCTCCAGCATGGCCTCCATGCTTTCGTAAGTGTCATAGTATACCACTTCATCTCTCTTTTCTAGAACAAAACAGCAACAAAGGGTAGTGGTTAAGAGCATGGGCTATGGAGCCAGACAGAACATGGTTCTAAACCACTATTGGTTCTGTAACCTCAGGCAACACCACCCCCCTTAGTTTTTCATTAAGACTCCGTTTGATCCTATATGTTTTTTTCTTTTTTTTTTTTCTTTCAGTAAGCTCTACAGCCAAGCATGGGGCTCGTATTCATGACCTCTTGAGCTTCTTTGTAAAACAGTGATTATTGGGAAATACACCTTCTAGGGTGAGTGTGTGTAGGAAGTGCTTAGCAGTGTCTGGCATGCAGTTAAGTGCTCAACAAATGTTAAGTATCATCCCCAAAACTCAAAAATTTTCTGGCTGAAACAACCTAACAAAAGTAAGCATTTTACGTAAGTAATACATAGTTGCATTGCTGACTCTACTTAATGACTTGAGTTTAAGAGCTCCTCTAAAAGGTTTTATGTTAAGACTTTTTTAGTCTCAAAATTTCAAGAAACATAGCTGACAAATACATATATTTTCTCTATGTTTTCAATTTTTTCTGGATTTACGTGGTTGAATGCACACCGTACCCGATATAAGTCTTTTGATGCTTTCCAGTTGGGCTGTCAATAATAACTCTTCACACTTCAGGATTTCAAACTGTACTTCATACAACTGAAGTTGCAGATCATAATAATCAGCTTCTAACTGATCCAATCGGGCTATGGCTTCTGTACCACCCTGCAAACTCTGCATCTGTGTGAAAATAAAATAAAAATGTTTCTAGCTGGTGGGGACAGGAAAAAAAAAAAATCAAGTTAGGATTAGAAATGAATACTAATCATACAGCATAAATCCATGAATCAACTGTCCCAAGAAAAAAACTTAGAGGCAAGAAGTAAAGATGTTTTAAAAGAAAAATAGTAATAATTGAGACATAATACAATTTTGGAAATAACTAGGCAAACATGAAAAATTAACTTATTATTACAGATCATGTTTAGAATCTATTATTCTAATTATTATGATATAAATATTAAAAGTGTCCTTTCCTCTCAAAAGTAGATGTGCTAAGTTATTCAGTTTTATTTTCCACATACGAAAGAGATTATATATGGATGAGTAAGATTAAGCCATACTGGGATAGTTACAACCAAGGGGTAAAAGTCTGGTTTCCCTACACATCCAGCTATGTTTTGTGCTCCATGGTCACAGCCTGGCTAGGTTCTGGAATCTGGTGAGTGGGGAGCAAGGTGAGTGGGTGTGAGGAGAACATGACAAAACTGATTTTCTAGAAATCCCTGCAGTCTACTGATAATGATAACTATTATTATCTTTAAGTAATGCACTCAGGATCCTATATCCACCCTAAGGTGGAACTCAAGATTTCTAAGCATGTCTCATGAAGTGGTAGTTGGTCATGCATGAGGTTTGCTTGGTTGCTCAATTGAGTTTTGGTCCTGAAAAGACAGGGAGAAGAGACTTTGCCAGGCATTAGAAGGAAATTACTATCAGCAAAGTATGCTTCAGGTATTAGTCCCCAACCCCATTATTTCCATGAATTCCTACTTGGCTCTATGGAGAAAGGTGGCAGTAAGAAGGAGCTGACAGAATGGCCAGCAGTCTGTGAAGTACAAGCCTGTGAGAGAGTAAAGCATTCTCCCAGAACATTTCTTCTAAGAATATAGTGCTACCACTTTGGCAGTTTAAAGATTCATGCTTAGAAACTCCAGGAGCCCACTGGCACAGGTACCAGTGTGCCCTGGGGGAACTAGCAACATTGGTGAGGAGGCCCTGGCCTCAACTGGCACCCCAGTAAGTGACTACCAAAAGGGTGGAGGAGGAACAGAGGAAAAAGGGAAATGTTTTGGGAGTTCATATGAGGGGTCATCTGGGGCTTCCAGAATACTAAGGAGATAGTTAGCTGGTACTCTTGGGACAGCTGTGACAGCAAAGACAGTTCTTATTGCTGCAAAATAATCCTTTCTGTCTAGTGAGGCTGGCAAAACATGCTAGCACATAGAGAGAGTATGTTTTAAACAAGAGTCCAGCCTTTCCTTTACATTCTACTCAACACAGTCTTACCTAAAGACTAGAATATATATATATATATATTTAGCACATAATTTCAAGTTCCTTTTAAACTGCAAAGCAACATGGGGTGCCTGGGTGGCTCAGTAGGTTAAACATCTGCCTTTGGCTCAAGTCATGATCTTGGGGTCCTGAGACTGAGCCCTGAACCAGGCTCCCCGCTCAGCAGGGAGGCTGCTTCTCTCTCTCCCTCTGCTCCTCCCCCCAGTCATGCGTGCACACGACGCTCTAATAAGTAAATCTTAAAAAAAAAAACCAAAAAAAAACCCTGCAAAGCAATAGTTGGACTGTGATCTAAATGTCCAATGGTACACATTTAAAAATAACCAGGTAAATTAAATACAATGTTATTTAATAAATGTTATAAAAATAGTATAAATATTTAATTAATTAGAAGCCAGAGATTCTGTTGCATTAGGAAGTATTTTACTGTATCTTTAGGAAGTATTTTATGACTGACCGACAATAAATATAGAACCACAAAAGGGTTTCACATTACAGTGGCTTGTAGAGAATGTTGACAAAATGAAATCCTGCTGTTTTTGAAAATAGGAATCGAAGGTGTGATTTCTTTCCTCAGACTCCCAGTCTCACTTTAAATTGTTAACAACCCTTTGCATACTGTCTTGGGTCTCTTATCCAGCTTTGGAGACTGTAGCTCCAGAATCCATAATCCTGTTCTCCACACCACACTTTCTATGCGCACAGCATACAAACATGTGAAATATGTAATTTTAGAAGCTTTATTTTCTAGGGAATTATAATCAGTTAAGATAAAACCTTAATACGCATTGGTCTAAAAACCTTCTCATAAGATCAGCTCCAGTGACAATGTTCTGGTAGAAATCCAGGCTGTTAGTTCCACGTTCACTATCTTTAGTTCTCTCCAGCTGAAAAGAACCATTTATGTGCCATGTTCACAACACTGTGCTAAAGCTTCCCCTAGCCCTCTCTAAGTTTGACTCTCTTGTCTAATACTTAGGCTAAGGAAAAAAGTTGAGAGCCCCCTGCTGACGTACCTTTACACAGTCAGTCAGTCTCAAATATCAAACTGAGAAAGGACGGGGTGTTTCCTTACAAGAAGTGACCTCACCCCCACCTTTCTGGTTTACTGAGTTCTATTCAAAGCAAGGGATTCCAGAGATGGATCTGCCATGGCGAGGTTCAGAAAGGACAAAACCTCATCGGAGGCAGAAATGCAGACTAAAGATCTGCTGAATCCCAACCTCTGCGAAAACAAATAGGGCAGCGGTGGGCATCAGGGCAAGTAAAAGGGTTTTAAGGACTCAGGAGAGAGGACTTTCATGGGATAAGCTAAAGGGAAAGGGATTAAGAGATGAATCAGGGAAATCTGGAAGGGCAAAACTGTCCTCTGAGGTCATTTAAACTTTAACAGTGAGGCAAAATCCTCAGTGAAAGGCATGCAGAGATATGGGAAGGCCATGCTGCACCAAATGTCTTCCCCGTATTCGCTGTAACTTCCAGCCTGATTTCCCCTGGCACCTACTTCAGCCGACAGCCACAGAACTAAGGGAATGGGAACCCAGCGTGAAAGGACTACTACTTCCGGACAGTGGGGCAGTGCAGAGGATGGAGGTGCCACAGCTGGGGCGCCTTTTTTATGCCTGAGGTCACTGCTTCCCTGGGCAAGAAGGAAGCCTAGAAAGTAGACTAAGCGCTCAAAGGAGGACAACAGAATGCCAATGAAAACTTTGCTACCCTGAAATTTTACTCAGCTCAACTTTTACCTTCTGAAAAAACTAAAAAAAAAAAAAAAAAGATCTACTATTATTTGAGAGAGAGTGTGCATGGGCACAAGAGAGGGTGAGAGCACATGAGCCGGGGGAGGGGGGGGCAGCGGGGAGAGCAAGACAGAGAATCCCAGGCAGACTCCCCACTGAGCGCAAGCCTGACAAGAGGCTTGGTCCCACAAAACCAAGATCACGACCCAAGCCAAAACCGAAAGTTGGACACTCAACTGACTGAGGCACCCAGGCGCCCCCTGAATAAACAAACTTTTGCTATCAGGATATCAAGACCCCAAAACAAACTGCCTTCCCAATGTGACCCTGCCATAATACCAGCAACGTTGGAACCTGACCCAATTCTCCCAGTTCCTACAATTATGGCCTTTCCACTAGACAGAAGTAGGGAGGAGCATTCTATTAAGTATAAAAAAGGAAATAAAGCAAAATGTTTTACAGTAAATCTAGCAAGAAAATTAAGTATAAATCAATATCCATACATCCACATAAGTACATCCTACACTATTGACCCCACTGATCATTCCCACCAGGCACATTAACAATAACGGTTTTCTTGTGTACCTATTTTGACTATAGAAAATCATGAAACCAGACATAAAGCAGTTAATGCCCCTGTCCTGCCTTTCCCCCTACTGTGCTAGGTAAAAACCTCATGACATGTGAGGAGCTACGAAAAAATAAAGCTTTCAGCGTATCTGTGGGTGGAGTCATTCATTCAAGAAATACTCACTGGGCACCTGGTGCTGTCTGAGTTACACAGAGTATGGCAGTGAGTAATAAATGAAGTGAGGGGTCAAAGAGTCGTCATGAAAACCACACATAGAACAAGAGAAATAACATTAAAGGAAAGCTCAGCAAGCTCTCAATCAAGACTAGCCCTTTTATTACATGGCAAAGATAGTACATGAGAAATGGTACCAGATAAACCTGAGTATAGAGTTTCCACCAATAACAGCTACACAAATATGGAGAATACATATAAACAGAAGGAATTATCTGAAATTCCACATTTTAGAAATCCTAGAAAACTGAAAACAGCCTTAATTTCTTTGATGTCAAAACCTAATATTACAATCCATTTGTAGGAAGATATGATCTGAACTGATGTGAAGCCCTATTTATTCCATTTAATATAAGTATGTTTCATTATTGGAAAAGTAACACTTGTCTAGAAATTATACACCCTAAATTATCTAAAATATGAAAAACTTAGAATTCTAAAACAGATCTGGGGGCGCCTGGATGGTTCAGTTGGTTAAGCATCTGCCTTTGGCTAGGGTCATGACCCCAGGGTCCTGCCGGCATGATCAGATCATGATCCCACGGTCCTGCTGAGCAGGGAGCCTACTTCTCCCTCCCCCCCCCACTCATGCTTTCTCTCTCTCAAATAAATAAAATCTTAAAAATAAATAAAATAGATCTGGCCTCAGGGGTTTCAGATAATGGCTTATAGGCTTGGAATATAAAGGGTTATGTTCGAAAATTAAATGAGACAATATATAAAGCACTAAGTATACGGCCTAAAACATTTAAAACTTTCCTATTCATTTTTTTGTAACTAATATCAAAGAATATTTAGATGGCTAAAACAGAATTTGGTAAGTAATATAAATTAAAACTTTTGGGGTGCCTGGGTGGCTCAGTCGTTAAGCGTCTGCTTTCGGCTTGGGTCATGGTCCCAGGGTCCTGGGATCAAGCCCTACACTGGGCTCCCTGCTCAGCGGGAAGCCTGCTTCTCCCTCTCCCACTCCCCCTGCTTGTGTTCCCTCTTTCACTGTGTGTGTCTCTGTCAAATGAATAAATAAAATCTTAAAAAAAAAAAAACTTTTAGAGTGGAACCTAGCTTCTTGTACTTAGGAGACTTTGAAATTTCTGGCATGCAGATATGGAACAGACTCT